AACCTTTAATGAATTAAGTCTCCTCACATGCCAGTGGTCAAAGGCTCACACAAGCATCTGGCTCCCGTAACCTCAAACATCCACGGAGCAGCCCGATCCAAACGTTAAAGCAGCGGAACAGCCGGGACAGGGCGAGGCATTTAACATCCAAACGGGGCAATGATGAAACCCACAAGCACCAGCAGAGGACTCTGACAAGATGCCCAGCCCAGGGCCGGTCCCAGATTGCAGGTTCTCAACTCCATACATGAATTGCTGCTGTGGGAAAAACATCCATCCAGGACCTTTAGGAACCACAGGGCCCTGTTTTGAAGCAAGGGGTCCCACGCCCACTAGCATTTTTGACCATGGAGTTGAGAAGGCAAGCAACCAAGGTTCCAGGGCCTCTCTGTAAAATGGGAATGCCCCTCTAATCAGCAAGGCCTGGATCAATCTGTCTGTTGCAATCTGCCTTCATTTGTGTACAGCCTCACTTTACAACAAACCCGTTTTCGTGGCCTTGCAACGCTGCTCTCTACTGGACGGACTTGGTCCTGCTTACGTCTGCGTCCCACTGCCCTCTACTGGACAGATTCAATCCCCACCCTTTGCCATTTCTTCACCCCGGCTCTGCTCGTGAACATGCGGATCTCTCGAGCAACCTAGTTAAGAGCTTCCTTTTGGTTTGGGCCGTCCGTAGGATTGATGGGGCCCTCGGCAGTATTATGAAACTGGCGCCTCTATGTCATACGGCAGCTGTGGGTGGGGGATGATTTTTGTTCAGAGGTGTGATTTTATACTCTTTAGCATAGAATCATAGACCTGGAAGAGACCTCAGGAGGTCAAGTCCAGCCCCCCGCCCATGGCAGGACCAATCTCAGCAACACACTCATGAAATATTTTTAAAGCAAACTGTAAACTAAGGTTCTGTGGACTAACACAGTAAATCCAGACACTGCAGGCGAGACCGTAGTTTGGCCGATGTCCGTGAAATAGGCAATCCGTACCCCTTGAATGGCTCTTTCCCAGGTTTAGTGGCTGCTAATCACTCCAGATGGCTTTTTCCCTTTTAAATTAACTAAGGCCTGTCTGGAGGAAGCAGGGCCACAAAACAGGGGTAGGAAGAAGCGGAAGGGTGGACTTTAAGACCCAGAGGTGCCCCACATTTTTGGATGCCCTTACACAGCTGTGTATTCTGCGTATGAGTAAGAACGGCCCTTCTTTTAGTTGAGCACCTCATTGGTTTTGGGAACTCATGGTCACAAATTTCCTCTCTCGTGCCCAGCAGTGAAAGTAACTTACAATTTCTTACAGGCGCTGTCCTATTACACCCCTGACAGCTCTTTCAATAGCTCCCGGCTGGCTTTTGTGGCAGGGCTGGCCGGAGCCGTGCACCCGGGCGCACCCGCTTCCTTTCACCTCTGCTCACATGGTTTGTGGATAACCTTGGGGCCTGTGCATCCAATGTGTGCCCGGCCGTGCCTCTCAGAGGGCTGCGACTGCTGGGTTTGCAGGGCTCATCCCACGAGGCCAAAAATAGCTGTGCAGATGTTCCCGCTCGAGTTTTAGACCCCGGGTTCCAGCCAGAGGTGCAACTCCACGGCTACTCCTGGACTCACGCCCCCCACGTCAAAAATAGGGGGTCCACAGTACCCACCTCTCCCAGCTGTTTGGCAGAGCCCAGGGAGACTAGCCCCTCATTTGCAAGCGGCGGGGGCGGAGAGGAGCGAGCCGTGGGCGGGCAGAGGGGGGCTGGAGCAAGCGCGGGGCCCAGAGCATCCACAGGGAAAAAGAAAAGCCACTGCTCCTGGCTCCAGCCCAAGCAAGGACCTCGGCACGGCTATTTTTAGCTTCCTAGCGTGAGATCCACAAGCCTACAGGGTTGACTGGGGCTCTGAGACTCACTGCAGCGGGTGTTATTTTTTTCTGCCCCGCAGGCCTACTGCACAGGCCTGTGGGCTGCACACGCCAGCGAGGCAGAGCGAGGCCTGTCGCCCTTCTCCTCGCCCTCAGAGGCTGACCTCAGTTCCTCTGAAACGTGGCTGCATGTCTTCGCTTCAGTTTCACGGGTTAGGGAATTCCTCAGGAAAAGAGAAAAAGCCCCTGCTGACACATTGATAGCCGAAGAGCATCGGCAGAGTCTAAGGGGAAGCTGCTAGGGGAAGTTCAAAAAGGATACACTTGAGATCTTTAGTTTGGTTCTTAACCTCTCCGGCCAGGTGTCCAATCAACCTACCTGCCACTGTATTAACAGGGCTGTCCTTACTATGAGGGAAACTGAGGCAGCTGCCTCAGGTGCCAGACTGTGGCAGGGGGGCGCCCTCAGGACTCAGAGTGTAGAAAATTGTGTCTGCTGCTGCTGAACAAGGCATTTTAAGTTGTTAGTTCTCCTTTATCGGGGTAGGTAGCAGAGCAGTCCCATGAGAGGAGTAGGACAGGAAGAAGGCAGAATTGAGACCTTTCAAAGTTTTGTCCCAAGCAAGGGGACATGTGGGCGTCCTTTGAGCTCCCCGCCTCAGGTGCCAAAATGTTGTGGGCCGGCCCTGTGTATTAACGATTATTATTTGGGCTCTGAGGAGTGCCCCACGCCCAGCAGGTGTGCGGGTTACATCCCTGCTGTAAAGCACACAGCCTATCGCATTAGTAATGCCACTGCAGTCCATGGGACAGAGACGCTTCAAGTTAAGTGTGAGCATATGGATTTGCTGGGTTGGAGCCTCGTCGCGCAACCGTGCTACAAAGAGCTGCATAGCTGGAAACAGATCTCAAATTCTCTCCCCGATAGTCCGCTATCTCTGCCCTGTCCTTGTCCGGCCTTTGAGTTGAATTCATCGAAGGAGCCATGAAATGATTATATTTTAAAATGGTCCCAGGAACACAGTGCTCTCCAAACGGGGCTGGTTTTGCTTTCGGCTGAAGACCCAACCCAGCTGTGCTGCTGGGGAGGAACAGGGTTACTGGCCGCGGATCCCAACTATGAATGATGGAAAATTCCAGGAGACGTTCCAAGTGTCTCGCTGGGAGGGGGAGTTAACAGGCCGGGGTGTGAAGGGCTGTGGGAGAGGCCAAAGCGCACTACCGTGGGAGAGGGAGCTCGGACAGGGAGCCCCAGCTGAGCCGTGGGAGAAGATTGTCCACCAAGGACTTGGCAACTGCCTTCGGTCCCCTGGTGCACAATACTCCAGCCGTGCAAAGTCCTGCTTCCAGACACCGGCCCCTGCTGGTCTTGCTCACTGCCCACTGCCAGGCAACCCCTCCCTGGTGCTTGCACCTCCACTGCCTGGCAGCCTGCTTCTCCCTTCACTGTCACATCTGCCTGCCTCTCAGTCCCCTTGCCCTGAACTGGTGTTACTGGCTGGCCCATCGCTCTGCCCAGGGCTAGCCCACTGTGGGCCTGGCATCACCCACCTCAGCTGCTGCTGCTCCTCCAACACCCTCTTAGCATGCGTCTCCCAACACGCCTCCTTGTGGGGTTCGTCTATCCTTGTGGGGCTCCAGTCTATCTTGGCCCTGTCACCATAGAAACCATGTCTTCCTCCTTCCCGCCCCTCTGTGAGGCAGGGCAGGGTGATTACCCCCATTGCACAGAGAGGCTAAGTGACTTGCCCATGGTCACATGGGCAGTCTCTGGCAGAGGAGGGCTTGAACCCGGTCACCACAGAGACAGCCTTCCTTTCACTAGACCGGGTTCGTCTATCCTTGTGGGGCTCCAGTCTATCTTGGCCCTGTCACCATAGAAACCATGTCTTCCTCCTTCCCGCCCCTCTGTGAGGCAGGGCAGGGTGATTACCCCCATTGCACAGAGAGGCTAAGTGACTTGCCCACGGTCACATGGGCAGTCTGTGGCAGAGGAGGGATTGAACCCGGTCACCACGGAGACAGCCTTCCTTTCACTAGACCAACCCTCTTATGCAAATAACAGAAGGGAGATGTAGCTCCCTAGCCAGCGTGTGTTGCAGGTTCCTCCCTCTGCCTGATTCACAGAGGACACAGGTCTACCACTGCTGCTAGCTAGAGGATATGAGCCAACACCCGTGGGTAGAGACGGTGTCCCTGACCTCTGCTGGTCAGAGGCTGGAAAGGGGTGACAGGAAAGGGATCACGTGATGATTCCCTCTTCTGTTCACTGCCTCTGGGGCACCTGGCATTGGCCATTGAGGATACTGGGCTAGATGGACCTTTGGTTTGACCCAATATGGCCGCTCTGATGGAACTGGGGAGATGCTCGTGCTCTTCGCTCAGCCCTTAGTAACGGTTGCCATAGAGGCCGTACCCCAGAAGGTTTCCACGTGCGCAGCTCCCATGTGAGGCTCAGACATAACCCCAAAAGCACAACACAGCAGCCGCCTACAACTCATCCTCAGGCCAAAGCCAAGCTCTGCCCGGTCTCCGTACGGACCAGCTTCTAGAACATGCCGTTTCCTCCCTCACGCCACCAGCTCTGGAGGTTTAACTGCACAGCTCTACCCACACGCCCAGCGCATTTCATCTCCCAGACCCCTGTCAGCTTCGCCTTGCAGTGGCAACTGGCCCCGGTCCAAATTCTGAAAAACACAGGATACGGCTTCCAAACGCTGGCTGTTTTGGCTCCTCATCTGCTCCAGGAAGTCATATTGACTCTACTCGTCTGCTCAGAAAGCCACATGCGCTTCCCCCCTCTATATGTGCTACCTCCCCTCCTCCCCCCCGCTATAGCTGGTTCCTCACGCTCGCCCCGGACACACACAATATGGGGGAGGGTCACTAAATATCGTCCAGCTGACTCTAGTTGGCAGCAGCCAGCTTCTGAAATGCCTCCTCTCCCCACCCTATAAAATGGACCAGCAGCAACTTCATTCCTGGGGTCAGAAGTTGGGGGAATTAATCCACTTGCTGCATTTGCTCTTGTCCCCCGTGGGGCTGGGACACAGGGCAGGCTAGAAGGGAAAGTGTGAGGCTGGAGGGGGAGCTGCAGACAGTTATTCTCAGAGCAAGCCAGAAACTTCTTCAGGAAAGTTTTATAAAACCAAACAAACACTCACCTAACTCCAGACCTGATCTGAATTGGAGAGCAACTGTCCCCCGCGGGTATGGACAGGTCAGCTAGCTAGGTCCTCCGGATTTCTTCCGAGCGTCCTCCGTTTAGTCCTGAGTTCCCAGAGTCAGGGAAAAACTCACACACGCACCAGCCCTTTCTGGGGTTTTCATGAAAGAAACTCTGCCTAATCTTTTTCTCCCCTCCCAATGATGTCATATCCTGAGAGTGTCTAGAAGTACAGCTGCCTGAGCAATAACTGACTGACACACACACACACACAAGAAAGTTGTGGCTCGCCCTGCCCCCCTCACGCCTCAATCTGTCTGTCTCCTGTTTCCTCTCTGTGGCATTGTGGTAGCTGTGAGTCCCAGGATATGAGAGACCCGGGGGTGTGGTAATAACGGCTCCCTACCAATGCTAAATAATCAGTTCTGCCTTGTATTTAACTGTGATGCCAGGAGCCAGACCGGAAGACAAGCCCTGGGTAAGCTCGAAAGCTTATCTCGGTCACCGACAGAAGTTGTTCCAATAAAAGATATCGCCTCACCCACCTTGTTCCCTGACTCTGTGGTGCTTTTAGCTGTGTGAGTATGTCCTTCGGGCTTTGATGCTGCAATATCTCCTTTGGCTTATGTGTCCTTCCTCTAGTTGGCTCTAGTCCACAGAGATATGAAGGAATACTACAAGCGACGGTTTGGCTCTCCAAGGCTGTGTCCACAGCAGCGTTGTTTCGGAATAACGGATGCTATTCCAAAATAAGAACATAAGAACGGCCATACTGGATCAGACCAAAGGTCCATCCAGCCCAGTATCCCGTCTGCCCACAGTGGCCAATGCCAGATGCCCCAGAGGGAGTGAACCGAACGGGTAATGATCAAGCGTCTCTCTCCTGCCATCCATCTCCACCTTCTGACACACAGAAGCTAGGACACCATTCCTTACCCACCCTGGCTAATAGCCATTAATGTACTTAACCTCCATGAATTTATCTAGTTCTCTTTTAAATCCTGTTCCAGTCCTAGCCTTCACAACCTCCTCAGGCAAGGAGTTCCACAGATTGACTATGCACTGTGTGAAGAACTTCCTTTTATTTATTTTAAACCTGATGCCCATTAATTTCATTTAGTGGCCCCTAGTTCTTATATTATGGAAACACGTAAATAACTTTAGTCACCAAGCTGAAAAATCCCAGTCTCTTTAATCTCTCCTCATATGGGACCCGTTCCAAACCCCTAATCATTTTAGTTGCCCTTCTCTGAACCTTCTCTAATGCCAGGATATCTTTTTTGAGATGAGACCACCTCTGTACGTAGTATTCAAGATGTGGGCGTACCGTGGATTTATAGAAGGGCAATAAGATATTCTCCTTCTTATTCTCACATAACACAGTCCATGTCTACACACAACACAGTCCATGTCTACACACAAGCAGTTCTTTCGACAGTGCCAAAATAACGTTTAGCTGTTGGACTGCTTACTCCGACTCCTTGTAACCCTCGGGGTGCGTCTAGACTGGCAAGATTTTGTGCAAAATCTTGCCACCTCTCTACACTGGCCATGAGTATTTGTGCAAGAACACTGACTTTGCACTGTACAAAATCAGTGGTTCTTGCGCAAATACTCCGACGCTCCCGCTCAGGGATAAGCCCTCTTGTGCAAGTATTCTTGCACAAGAGGGCCAGTGTAGACAGCCAAGTTAATTTCTTGCACAAGAAAGCCTAATGGCTAAAATGGCCATCGGAGCTTTCTTGCGCAAGAGAGCGTCTACACTGGCACGGATGCTTTTGCGCACAAGCAAATCTTTTGCGCAAAGGCACATGCCAGTATAGACGTTCTCTTGCACAAATACTTCTAATGGAAAAACTTAGGTGCCGCATAAATTTTTATGAATGTAAATGGCTCCGGAGCCCCACAAGTTTGAGAACCGCTGGCATAGCTCAAGTCCTGTAGCTGATTTCGGTTTATGCCCTGCTGGGTAGATGTGAAAAAGTGAATGGAAGAGAGAGAGAAATGAACTATTCTCCTTCCCTCTGCTGCTGAAAATCAGCGGATGGATTTCACCTTCGATGAGAGCAGCTGCACAAGCATCACCGTGCCCGGAGAAAGACTGGTCTCTTGATCAGCAGAGCTTGCTTCCTGGGCTAGCCCACCGGGAACATTTAATCAATGAATGTGCTGAAAAGTTGCTTCTTTTCAACGTCACATTCGAAATAGAGGTCTGAGCCCACAGTTCAGTGCAACGGATCCTGGCTCTAGCTTATTTGTGTCTGCAAGACTGGGTCTTGATATTTGTATATGATAAAGTTCTTTAAAGGAGCTCAAAACTCTTGGCATACTCCTGCATTCCTGGGGAACTCCAAAGCTGCCTCTAAGGCTGTGTCCAGACTCAGAGGTTTTTTCGAAAAAAGTAGCCTTTTTTCGAAAAAACGTCACCTGCGTCTAGACTGCAGCCGCGTTCTTTCGAAATTAAATCGAAAGAACACGGCTTTTCTTTCGACGGCGGAAAACCTCATTTTACGAGGTTTTGACTGCAAACCTCATTTTGACTGCAAACAAGGGTTTTTCGAAAGAGAGCATCCAGACTGCCTGGGTGCTCTCTTTCGAAAAAGCGGCTTGCTTTTTCGAAAGTTCCGCTTGCAGTCTAGACGCTCTTTTTTGAAAGAGGCTTTTTCGAAAGTATCTTTCTTTTCTTTCGAAAAGGCCTCTTTCAAAAGAGGCTTACAGTCTAGACATAGCCTCTGTCAGGGGCAGGGAACCTTCTTTGGGTGGGGGGCTGCTGGCCCACAGAAAAATCAGCCAGGGGCCACACACAAGTGAGAAGCGCAAAACAAAACAAACCCCTTCACTGACACGACCCCCGACTAAGAAGGAGAACACTCCCCATATTCCCCTCACACACCAGAGCATGGGGGTCCCAGGCTAGTAGATTTTTGTGTGTTCCAGCCCGATGGGGGAACAATGGGGGGGGGGGGTTGGAGCACCAGTGTGGACTCCCCAATACTGGGGGGAGCCCCAAGCCTTGGGGGCTGAACCCAGGCCAGCTGGGGGCTGCATCGGGCCCCTGGCCTTCAGTTCCCCAGCCTTGCTCTAAATCATATGGGCATTGTAGGGGTGTGAGGAAACTAGAATGAAGGCCCTGGGAATTGCACACAGCAAGTTTCTGTTCTTATGTAATTACCGACACCTCCAATTTCTGTGGCAAAAACATCCAATTTCCTTCACTGTTTGCTTTTGGCCACTTTTTCTCAGCTCAGATTAGAGAAAGCAACTGGGCCTTTGCCTATAATCAGTTTCGCCATCAGGTTGCCTAGTAGTGGCACAAAACTTCAGTGTTTAGGTAGCAAATATTGCTGGGGAGTATTTGCCAAAGGGGGTTTCACATTGTGTGTGTGGGGGGGGGAGGGGGGAGAAGTGATGGCAAATTGTCTGTTCTTAGCTGCTGCAAACCCTTATTTCATAAAAGGGAGATTTAGGGCCACGTTTGGTCTGTCAGCATCCATTGGGTACATCAAGTCTATAACAAGCCCCCAATCCCGAGACTGACCTGCAGATTTTCTTAAAGAGGGTAATCAACATATATGTGATCTAATCCCTCTGCTTGCCACTGCCACTAGTAGCAGCTCAACTTTACATTAGAGCCATCTTTTTCTCTAAAATGATATAATGTAGCAGTGAGTTCCACAAGTTAATTGTTTCCCAAGTACTTTCTTTCACCAGTTTTAAGTTAAAAGTAACTAACTGCATCAGATGCCCGTTGTGAGGAAGATGTTCCCAACTGGCCTTGAAACCATCATTGTTTTATATACGTCTGTCAGGTCACCTCCTTGCTATCATGGTTTATAGAAGCATACTCATTCTTACACAGGAGGCATTTATTAAAGAAATTGACTACAGCTAGAGACACAAACAGGCTTCCATGCAGCTTGAGTCCCAGCTTTGTCTCCCTTGTTTACCAGTATAGCTGTACCTTGCCTACAACTCTATACAAAACACAGGGTCACCTGAGTAATATCCTGCAATGAAGACAGAGTAGATTCGGATCTTACTTCCCACTGATCCAGGAATAATTCCACAGAATTCTGGGGTGTTACCCCACAGTGTAAAAATGGAGTTCTAGCTCAAGCACCAGATTTTGCTCAGTCACCAACACGGTCTCCCCCCGGCTCCCTAGCCTGCCTGCATCACCAGGGTTCCTGTGGGCCTGGTCACCGTTTTTGTGCATGTCACAGTCCCTTCCTGGCACAGAGTGAGTCTCAACTGCCATCTCCGCCCCTGGGCAGAGAACAACGTGGGGAGCGGTTTGATTTGCCTTTCCCTTTTTCATCACCCCTTAGAATCTTGTTGACATGACATGAGTCATCCAGGAGGCAGGAAGCCACAGACCCTTCAGCTAGCAAAAAAAAAAAATCACACCCCTCCCTCCACGGCCTTGAATTCTAAACTGTGCCTCAAGAAAAGGCAACAAATGTGAAATAAGGCGGCAAGTTCCCCCTCCCCCACACCCTGGTCTGTTCCCTTTTCCAGACCCTCGGCCTCTAGGCCAGACCTGAAACTGGTGCAAATCACCTTAGCTCCACTGAAGTCAACAGAGTCACGCCAGTTCACGCTGATTGAGGGTCTGGCACTATCTCCACAGTCCTTTTTGGAGAGCCATTAAATCATATGGCTTTCTCCAGCATTTCCGTCCTGCTGCTTGTCCCTCACAAAGCAGGGGGTGGGAGCGGTTGATTTTTTTGCATTAAATTTGAGGTTTGCAGGCACTGATGTTTTCCACATACTGCTTTCATAGAATCATAGGACTGGAAGGGACCTCGAGAGGTCTTTGAGTCCAGCCCCCCACCCCCAAGGCAGGACTAAGCTCTGTCTACACCATCTCCGTCTACATCATCCTTTGCAGAGGGCTTGAAGGTTACATGTTCCTCGTGGACAGCCAATATGTGACTTAAAAGTGTCCAATGTACAGTTCACCTTCAACAGAGAAGGCCCAGCCCTGCAGAGACTTATGCAGGCAAGTCACCTACATAAGTCTTAGCCCTACTGGGCCCTAGTCCCCCAAATATGGACTCTACTTCATATCATGTTAGATCTTGTTCATTTGGTTAACAGCTACAGGAGGCACTTACTAAAGCAATCGACGACAGCTAGAGACACAAACAGGTTTCTACGCAGCTTGAGTCCCAACTTTGTCTCCCTTGTTTACCAGCACAGCCATACCTTGCCGAGAACTTTATTCAGAACACAGGGTCATCAGAGTAATGTCCTGCAAGACAGT